CTGGTGGCGGATTTTGGAAGTTTTGAGACCGAATCCCCATAGACCATCTACTACCCTTCACAGAGACCTTGACATCCCTTACCTAAGGGACTACATCAAAAAACAACGTTATAATCAAGTTGAATCGCATAACAACCCTTTGTTGCGCGAGTCAGTAGACTACACAGTCGAGCAAGTTCGCAAGCACACAAGGCCGCGACTCGCACTGTGAACAAAATTAAATCGTGCGACTTTAGGTCCAACCAAAATCATAATTTTTCTTCAACTACCAATCCCAAAATTAATTTTAGGATCAATTTAAAATTGCCGAATACTAACTAGCAATGCCAAGGTACCCCTCAAATTGATGCACTTCTTTTTTCTTTGCTCTCCCTCCTTCCTTCCTTCCTTTCTTATTCCCTTCTTTCTCCTTGACTTTGTTTGGTATCTGGGCAACCAGACCTGGCAGACCTACTGACTTACAAGACTTCAATCAAGAGCAAAGGTCCTACGGACCGCTCTGACAGACATTGACGAATAGAGGCATTGCGACTGTCACGATCAGCTAAGGAAACATCTCTGTAACTACTCAGTCGAGAAAAATCGCAACATTCCAGTTCGCGCCTCGCACTGTGATCAAAACTGAATTGTGAATTTCAGACCAACCAAAACTATTTCAATATACAAACCCGATAAAAATTATTTTTGGAGTTAAGAAATTATTCGAGTAGTCAAACCAATAATGCTTAAGCTATTCCAAATCATTTACTTCTTCTCTATGCTCTATTTCTTTCTCCCTTTCTTTCCTTCTTTCCCTTTTCCCCTTAGACATGTTTGGAATCTGGGTAGCAAGACCTGACAGACTAACAGACCGACGAGACTTTTATCTAAGAGCAAAGGTCCACCGAACGGCTCTGACGAACAATGACGAATAGTATCACTGTAAAATGAGATTGAGCGGCACATCCTTATGCTGAGATTGTGAACAAGATGACGAGATACTAGAACCTAAAAAACGCCGCTTCAGACCACAGTGCTATAGGCGCAAAATTCTCAATCTAGGCGGATCCGATGGGCGAATCTAGACCAATCGGCCAACGCCACGTTGCTCAGCTCTCCAGTTATCAGAACGGTATATTAGCGCTTATGATTCAGCCGAGCCAATTTTCATTCGTCGAATACAGGGTGTCCGCAAAGTTGGGGTTTTCCTTTACACGACGTGTAGATCTTGAAAACATAAGCAATTTTTCTTAGTACCATATACACCAATGTCTTAAGGGAACCGAGATAAAGGGCTCTGCAACATCAAAAATATCTGAATACCGTCCTGTAGCTGCGACCCGCGATATCACCGACTAGTACAAGTGGGTCGGGGTCAGTGTGTCAGGTCAGTATGCAACCTTCAACCGACGGTTACGGTCACGCGTGTAGAGGTAAACGAACCCATATAATCGATTGCGTTTCAAAAAACAACAAGCACTAGAGACGTGGCTAGAGAAGTGCAAGTATCAAAAACTAAAGTGTGGTAAACGCTGCGTGAAAAGAGGCTGTATCCGTTTCACGTCCAACGTGTACAAGCCCTTCAACCTGACGATTTTCCAGCAAGAGTGCAGTTTTGTGAGTGGTTGTTGCATCAACATGACAATAATCCGGACTTTTTGAAGTGCATATTGGTGCACCACCGCCGGCGTCTGCGCGGTAGTGCATCAGCTGATTTCATTTTCTGTTGGAGCGGTATGATTTCGGGCAGAGACGTACTTAGCCCTTCTCGTCAACTGGAGAGTGAGTACTTTTTCCTTGATTTTTTTTGACTTGGTCGCCCTCGTTTCACTACACATTACCTTTGATATTTCAAGGGTAGTTGTTTCTGAAAAGGAAAACCCCAACTTTGCGGACACCCTGTATATTCGCCCCTGCTGGAAAAGAATTTATTCGAGAACATGAATTCTGCGACCAGCACTGCGCCTCTACTCTATTCAGCTTCCACAATTCGCTATTGAAGCTAAATGAGACCGTCTGATTCGAAAACAGTATTCGCCGTCCTTCTCAAATAATGTGGGGGGGAGGCGCATATTTCATTCTTTTTTCCTCAGGGCGCACAAAACTCTGAAGTCAGCCCTGTGAACCACACCCTATAACTTAGGTGAAGTTTGACAAAATACCTAGCAACTTTTTGATACTGGTAGGCAGAAACCTAAATATTGCGTCGCGACTATTATATGGATCTTGAAGACGCTCTGCTAAGGTTTAGGAAAACTGGAAAAGTCTCCTCAGGTTGATTGTTCCATAATCTCGACACCCCGGCGCAGCTCGACAATTAGGATAGGAGGCAAAAGTCTGGCGGGTCCGACTGACAGGCTCAACACGGCGTGGCATCATGGAGGAGTGCTCTGAGGACAGTCCGTTGACGTAGTGGTAGTAGAAAGCCAGATCGCCGAAAACCCGTCGTGTGTCGATTAATCGGAACTCCCTCCAAATATGTGAACAATACTCGACACTGGATCTCATCTGGGTCTTGTAAGATTACGTGGAGAAAAGTAAATACTTCTAACCCTATAAAGATAACCTAACTTTTTTCCAGTAGCTGCTGCGGTCCTCGCCCAGCCGAAAAGGATGGCTCTTTGGCAGAACTTGGCCATCCAACGTCGAATAGCATTTATCGTCGCCTATGTTTGGTTTCGATGGAAAACAATTAACTCATTTAGTAAGCCAGAGTTGGATTAGCCCTAAGGCAATAATTTTCACACCTTATATAAAGATACCACAAAAGAAATATTCTCAGAATGCCTAACTGAAGAAAAATGTTTGTGATTTCAATAAAAACAGGTTTTAAGAAAGCAGTCTTGTTTTGATGCTGGTCCTATCGATTCACCTGTTAAAGCGAAGTTTATATTAGGAACTTTTTTATAATAATAATAATAATAATAATAATAAAATGTCTTTATTAGGCACATTATATACACTACAACATAATGTGACCTCTACGTAGGCGAAGTCTAGCTCTTGGCTACTCTACTTAACCTACCCAAATATTAAATTGAAACACTCAATCAAAGCAAACTTTGACAAGCAAAAGACGCTTCAAAACAACGAGCTTGATAGCTTCCTAGCATACATATATACACACATATATTACGTAAAATAAAATTAAATGTAAGAATTAAAAACTAACTTTTCCACAATTACTACAATGACAAATAAATCTGTTTCACATGCTTACGAAATCTGTTTACTGGCCAATCCTTTATATTGTCATCTAATTCGTTATAAATCAGGATAGCATTGTAAGTGTATGAACTACGAAATAAAGTTGAAGTTGTTTTATACATAGGGATCTCTAGTCTTTTTTTGTGTCTGAAATCAATGTCTGAATTATTTCGTCTGAAAACAAATTTCTCATAAAGATACAAGGGGGATCTAGAAAATATGATCTTATGTGTAAACACTGCTATACGGTACTTGCAAGCATTTTTTTCGCTGATTACGAATCCGGGAACCAGTACATCAGAATCTGTATCATAATCTATAAAATAGTACTGAAATGACACTGATTTTCTCAAAGACTTATTTAAATCAAACAAAAATGAATTTTTTAGGATAGGTTTTCCAGAAATATCATTTCTGAGCTATTATGAAATGGATTAATTTTTTCTCATTGATACCCTCATGTTAGGTCACAACTGGTTAAAATGAGAACAAAATAGTCGTATAATAGGAAGCATCTTGTATACCAGAAATTACGAAATTTTTCAATAACACGTTTTTTAGCGGTCTGTTGCGTGCTAACAAAAAAATACGCTACGGAAAGACTGACAAACATACTACCACATCAAGACAGACCGACGGAAATGAATTTTATGTTGCCCTATAGCATGAAATAAAGCCCAAAAAACTCATCACAGTCCAAGAAATTATCGTGAGTGTGTAATAATATATATATTAATGTGTACCTTTTCAGCTCTGAGGTTGGCGTCCTTGGCCTGCTGTTCCATTTGGGCAGCGCGGTCTAACGCGTTGTCCTTTTCAAGCTTCATCGCTTGCATCTTCTTCTTGATCGCGTCCATGGCGGCGGTGTGTTTTTTTCTTGCTTACTCGGGGAAACTGCAACAAAAAGTCTTCTATAAGGGTAACGAAATTGATATCATAACCATTGGTACTAGCATTCACTATCTGTACCTGGACAGTTTTGCGGAAGTCTAAAAAAGTTGATATAAATTCGGCATGTACATTTGCCGTTCGCGATCTATATATCCAATGAAAACGGCGCAAAAATATAGTTTTTTGACAAAACCATCGCCCCGACTACTGTAAAATAGCTGTATGATAAACTAAACTAGGGATTGCTAAAATTTATGTATTTGACAGTTCTTCTTTGATTCAGATGAGTAGTTTCGGCATACAAGTCAGTAGCGTGTCCTGCGGGTTCGGACCCACCGAAGTATCAGAGTTAAAAAATTGGTGTGTTTTCCTGGACGTACATCCTGAGCTTATATAGGGTGGCGCATCGAAAACGAAACAGACGCATTTACTGGCAGCTCAGTTTTTTTTTTGGAAAAACGCTCAGACCCGTCGATTTTGTTTTCGAGGGGGACACAAGTTTGGCAAAAAATCACGTTAACATGTGCAGCCCCCTGGGCGGGGGTGTCACCAACCCTAAAATCTTAAAGGGAAAGGGAGGTCGAGTGATACCTTATTTTAAAGGACTTTCAATTCCCTTTATAATGATGTAGAATACATGAGCTTCAGTTCAGTAGTTTTGAAGATTTATTGATTTAAAGCTTAAAGTAGACTTTAATAGGTACATCAGATTAGTTTGTACTACTTTCAGAAGAAATTTGACCAAAAGAATTTACTTAATAAGTAAATGCTTTTCTTCATTACGCCCATGGTTTGTTTATCATTTTGTTGTTGAAAATAGCTTTTTTTGTGGCAAAAAAGTTATTTCTTGAAGAAAGATAAGGAAATATCTCGTACTTATTTTAAATAGTACATAGTTTGCGATTGATTTGACCAAACTTTGTTGCTAAAATAACTTGTAACGCTTTATTACATAAATCAACCATGGCATATTCCACAGCAGAAAGAGTTGAAATTATCGAAATATTTTTCGGAAATAATCAGTGTGCTAATAGAACAGCAGAAATATTTAATGAGCGACATTAGAACAGTAACGTGCATCGAAAATATGTTCTAGAACTTGTAGCTAAATTTCGGGAAACTGGGTCAGTCGCCAATAAAAAACGCAACATTGAAAATCCCATAAGGAAGGAAGCAATAGAAGTGGGGGTTTTAGGGCAAGTTTATGTAGATCCTACGTTAAGTACCCGCAAATTGGAGACTGTGTCCAATGGATTCTAAAGGCCCATAGTTTTCATCCGTAGAAAATTCACCTGGTACAAGATGAAGACGATTTTGATCGGCGATTACAATTTTGTGAAGATATGAGTGAACGAATTATAAACATTTTCTATTTAACACTTGCTTTCTAATCCCAGAATTTATCATGAGGTTCATAATCAGCAGCCACAAAAATTAAATGTTTGGGCTGGTATTTTTGGCGATCATTTAGTTGGTCCTTTTTTCTTACCTGGAAATTTGACCGGTGAAATGTGTTTGGAATTACTGGAAGACGCCATAGACCCTGCATTAACAGCCATAATTGAAAATCAGAATGATCGGCGGTACATTGCGAACAGGATGGTGCCCCACCACATTATGCATTACGTGTTCGACAATATTTAGATCAGACAGATCGCCAGATTTATCACCTTTTGATTGCTTTATGAGGAGTCATTTAAAAAGCAAAATCTACGCTACTCAGCCAACATTATTAGAAGACCTGCGACAAAGAATTGTGAATGAATGCCTTCAAATTACTCCTCAAATATTGTAAAATGTGCATGGAGAGTCATGGTGGCCATTTTCAACATTTACTTGCCTAACGGATCAATTCATTCTTCATTATTAAATTACTTTGCTGCCAAATGTATTGATCTCCACTAATGATGATGTATTAGTTTTATTTAAGCTTTAAATCAATAAATCTTCAAAACTACTGAACTGAAGTACATTAATTTTATATCACTATAAAGGGAATTGAAACACCTTTAAGATAAGGTATCACTCGACCCCCCTTTCCATTTAAAATTTTGGGGGTGGTGTCACCCCCGCTTAGGGAGCTGCACGTGCTAACGTGATTTTTTGCTAAACTTGTGCCCCCCTCGAAAACAAAATCGACGGGTTTGAGAGTTTTTCAAAAAAAAAAAATGAGCTGCCAGTAAATGCGTCCGTTTCGTTTTCGATGCGCCACCCTGTATAACGTTTTTGCGATTAGTCGAATCTTGTTACGTGTGGTCTCATTTTGTAGGTCTCACAAATACCTAAAAATCTTATATGAAGGGTTTTTTCGTTCCTGCCAACACTTTCGATTGAATCCCAAAAAAACGCGTTATCTCATTCTTTGTTGTCGAATAAAAAGTTTTCCCACAAAAATTGGTGTACCCATTTTATGCGTCCATGTTTTAAATACCCTCTGTACAACTTTCGTCTAATATGATTAGACTAATTAGTAAAATGGCATGTACTATACCTTGTCAAAATCGCATTTTTAGAATCTGAAATAGATGGTTTAGTCTATCTTACAATGATGATGCAGTTTATCATCGTTATTTTTCACATTTGACGGAACATTTTCCCCATGGCTGGTAGGGTTACAATGAACAGGGCGTAGAAAAACTTATTTACGCCACATTGGAACTAATTACGTCACGAAACTTTGCGTTTGAAATCTCAACTTTCGCTACTTCACGATCAAATAAAAACGTGAAAATACGGAGTATACTTTTTGGAAGCAAAATTTTGATATTTCGTTAAAAAAAATTCTTGAAGAAATCCCATTAGTCTCTTGAATTTAATTCCCATTCATACTGTGGTTCATCGCATAGCTTTTGTTCGTAAATAAGATTAGAAGTAGTCGGGTAACGACTTGTTTACTGCTTATGTCTGAATCACCCTGTATATTCTGATTAAGACCAACAAAGCGCATAGCTAGAACGTTCAAAGTCCGGAAGGTTTATTTCTCTTCGTCAGCAGATACATTCCAGTCGATCACGCGGAGGCATTGCTACTTGAAGTTCTTTTGTTCTTATTTTTAATTCGTTCGAGATACTTTCGTGGTAACCTTAAAAACATTCGTGAGACGGTCGTCGCTTCTGACGAAGGTCGTTATGTGGCGCTTTAACCGGCCTATGCAGACGATGTTATGCGTTTCTGTCTCGTTGGTATTGACCAATTCAGTTTTTTGCGATATTATGCAGTTTATTTACAAACATCTGCTGCAGTATTTTGTAAACTCTGCTGCCCGCTTATGGTTTCCAAGAAGGTCAATGCGTGAAGTTGTTTTGTGCCAATGTTATACTTGCATACTTGCATGTGTGCAGTCATGGTTAAAGATAAAAAAGAACTTAGTACAAACATGATCTAATTTATGAGAATACCGTATTTTTTCTTGTGAACTATTTGGTATAAAACTTCATTTACTAAAAAAATGGCGTCAAGTAGGTTCTCTGCACTTCCACGCAACGCTGTCATCAGTTCGGAAAGGATTATAGTGGGCACAAGTTAGACCTTCTGAGAAAAAAAAGTTAGTTAAACTGGCCGATATAATAATCCTTTCCCAGCCCTACTGATGTAACCTTCCATTTGGCAACGTCTCCCTTTTCCCCATACTTCACCGTTCGATGAATTTACTCGTCAGACTCTGCAGCGTGGCAGTATCGGAATGACACTCATGGGGGGGAGTGTGATGCCAGTCAACTCAGAGACGCACGTCAAAGATATTCCTGTATGATTCTATGTTTTAAGAGCAAATGTACGAGGAAATCTGTGATGTGCGAAATAAGTCTAATATGTGCGTGGAATTACTGGGATTGCAGGGGTTTAAATATACTGACACCAAAAATTGAGATATACCTCATCTCCCAACCCTAACAGCCCCCAATTTTTTTTTGAAAATGTTCAGGAGCCTTTGATACGTCAAAAAACGGTGTTTGAGTGATTTTACTTTCCTTAACGTCACGTCCACTGGACTTATTTTCAAAATCTACAAGGCTTTTTCATCCTTAGCGTAGTAGTGACCTATTGTGAAGATTATATCAAATTCGGAGCAGTATTTTCCAAGTTATAGACGGGCCAAGGATTAGCGGACAAACAGACGGACAGACAGTCACGCCGACTGAAATGAGTGACATTCTTTCCGTAATGCGCCTGTCATATAAAACGCAAATAATATATCACATTTTCGATTTTTTGGCGATTACAATACTCCCTCACCAGTAGCATACTACTCGTACGTACTTAAAAGAAAGGTGTTGGGGACGTTTTGAGAATTTGATATCCGTATAGATTTCGACGGGATTTTTTGGAATTCCACTTTGCTATCTCGTATCTCTTCCGGTAGAGCCGAGAAAAATGCTGCCAAAAAATGTGTATGTGAACAAGCTTTGTTGCACTCGTACCCATAAGAAATGATTGGTAGGTAAATTGTAAGCAATTTCTTCTAGTTTAGTTTGTCGCCAAACTTCTCCAGAAAAATGGAGACATAAGACCACAGTGATGACACTTGTTGGTCGCCGTTTTTACAATGTAGCGGCCTGAGAGGAAAATATACGAGGTAGCAGAGTGAAAATTTTGAAAGAGTACATCAAACGAAATTAGGATATCCGCTATTCAAATCTTCCTCAACTGTCCAGATAAATTTACTAAATTATTGCATTAATATTTGTATTGTAATTTCCGATATTGTTACAAACCGAAAAGTATGCGAATAATTCAAGTTGTCATTACCCACAATAAATAGACACGCACCTGGTAACCATCTTTTCAGTGTTAGAACGCGGTATCTAATGTGCTCCATTATGCCCTCTACCTTGATTCTCTCTAGCTGCTTGACATCACATAAACAAATCACATGCGCCCTCGATGAATCGAAATATCCTGACAATAATCTTTAATATTTAAAATCTTATCATAGGGGTAACATCCGCCATTCCTTGATAACATTGAGATTGACCGCAATCTCAGAATTGTTATAAACCGTTATAATGAGCACACAACA